CACCCCACCACTCATGTCCAGGCTCCTGCAGGCAGGCTTTCCTGGCTGGAACCACAACCGAAAGGCTTCTGAGGGCAGGTTTTGCCTCTCTGACCACCCATCAGGGCACATAAGCCCATGTACTCCCTTGAGGCCTCCCCAGGAGGGAGCAGCCCCACCTCACCGTGAGTAGATACTCCACGGCTCGGTGGGGGTTGTTGTAGCTGGCTCTCAGGGCGGCCACGACCCGCTCCCGTTCATAGCCCATGGACATGATCTCTGTCAGCATCGTCTCATACTCAGAACCAGTCACTGTGGAGGGAGCAGCAAGGCCTTGGTCACCAAGGAGGGGGAAGGGTAGCTCCCAGGCCCTCCCACACCCACACAAGGCCCAGCTGCCGGCCGGGGCACCCAACTGCTTCTGCCCTGGGGACCACCCACCCACCTAGCGTGGATGCCGCGTCTTCCTCTCGCCCGCTGCTACCTGAAGAGGGAACAGAGCTGCAAATTCAAGAGAGAGAAATCGGACCCTGGCTTCTGGCGGCTTGCCCTCCCCCAAGTATGCAGAAACATGTATGTGTTGGAAGGTGCTGGGAGGACAGGGCCCAAGCTGGGGCTTCTGCTCCCTGGCCTTACCCTGACACAGACTCCGGGGATGTCGTGGGGACTGATTCCTCCGATGGGCTCTTGTCCTCTCTGGCAGCAGGTGGGGGATGGGACATGCCTGAGGCAGGGGCCGGAGGAAAGGATGTGGAGGACTCCGGGACAGCAGTGGGTGAGGCCTCTGGGGGTACTGAGGTGCCTGGGCTAGTTTTGGCCTGTGACACCCAGAAAAAGGAGCAGGCATCAATACCCCTATCTAGCCCCAACACCCCATCCCATCTCAGCCCCGCCCTCTTCATAGCTAATCTCTCCCGGGCACACTGGCTCTTTGTCAGCTCCCCAGCCAATTCACCCACCCTCCCAACCAGCACACTTCACCCACCTTGGTCACCATAACGACCACAAAGTTCTTCTCGTCAATGCGATAGTCCCTGATGGGCACGTCATCACTCAGGATCTTGCCAGCATAAATGAGTTTCTGTCCAGCCACGGGGAAGGCATCACGACCCTTCTCAGCTTCTATCTTTTCCTTTAGCACCTTCACCTGGAAAGAGAGGAACACTCATTGCAAACCTCAAGATTCTTTTTTTGTGGGGAGGGCCTACAAGCCTCAATGGCAGAGAAACTAAGCTTCACGATCAACCATGCCAGATTCGAATTTGTTTGCTCATCCCACCATTCAACGGAGTGTTTACCAAACACTTCACACCAGGTGCTATTCTAGGTACTGAGCATACAACATAACAAGGAACAACACTCAACACGAGTCCCCGCTTCCGCGGAGATAACACTAACGCAAAGAAAAGAGAAAACAAATATAACTTCAGATAACGTAAAATATGATGAAAAATTAAATAGAATAAAAAAGAGGTAAGATTCTTCATTCCACACTGCTGACAGTGCTTGGTTTTTGCCAAAAGCATCCTATACGGACGATACTAACCTAAGTGTATACATGTCACTTTTTAAAGCCTCCCCACTGCATAAAGTAGGTATCAATAGCCCCGTTTTATATTTGAGAAAACAGAGGTACAGAGAGATTAGTTTGCCCAAATTCAAATATTTAGACTGATCGAAAAATATGAGTGCTTCCTTTTCTACAACACATAAGAGTTCAGTGTCTCCTTCATGAGGTAGTTGTGCAAAGAGTGCCAAACACAGACGTTCAATATGTCTGTTAGGTCATAAGCCTCTTTTCAGCTAAAAATGCAGCGCAATGTTTAAACTATGGGCTCTCACATGAGGCAAAACCAAATATGAATCCCCATTCTGCCATTACTTGCTTTCTGCCATTACTTGCTTTCTGTGACTGTAGCAAAGTTCCCTAATTCCTAAATTTCCACATCTATAAAATGGAATACAAGAATCAAGAACGCTCAAGTGGTAAGTCTGTTTTGCATCTTCAGTAAGATTAACAATCGCTCAGCAGCCGGTAAAAAACAAACCGCCAACAAACACAGACCACTGAAACTGAGATCGTTTATTATCATTATCATCGTCACTGCCGTCACCACTCGGCATCTCCTGGTCACTACTCCCAAATTCGGCCACCAACGTCCCGAGGAGACGCCTGCAAAGCTGGGAACTCGGAGCCCCCGTCCCGGAGAGCGTGGCCCGGCCGGGAATCTGAACCTGCGGCTCCCGCGACCCGCGAGGGCGCTGACACTGGAGCTGGGGCCTGATGGGTGCCCCGGGGGTGGGGCCTCGTCCGGAGACCGGCCCATAAGCGCCATCAGCACGAGTCGCCCGGGTCTGAGCCGAGAACCGAACGGAGGTTCGGGCAAGTCAGGCAGGCTGGAAGAGGTGGGCAGAGCCCTGCCTGCGCCGTCCTCCCCGCCCCTCCTGTCGGGATCCCGTCCTCCCCGCCCCCACTCCCCCACCCCACCCCCCTGGCACCCGTCGTTCCCACCCCCGGGCTCCGGTCCAGCTCCCACCGTTTCGTCAGGCTCCATGCGGATTTTGAAGGTCTGCTGCTGCAGCGTCTTGAGCGTGATGGTGACGGCCATGGCGGGGCCGGAGCGACGCGGCGGCCCCGGGATCCTCACACAACATGCAACTCACGCCGCCGCCATCTTAGCGCCCAGCCGCGCCGCGAGGCGACCGCTTCCGGGGCAGGCGGTGCGCGCGCCGACCACCAGAGCACGTGACCTGCGCGCGCCCCCCGTAGTCTTGGTGGGCATGCGCAAGAGGGAGGCCTTTGGCCAAGGCATGCGCAGACTAAACTCGGCTCCCGGAGGGAGCTTCTCATTCAACACGCATACAGATCACGTGGCTTCCTGAGTGACGCCACGCCCGTTAGCGGTGACGTCATACGGCCACAAAATGGCTCCGACATGCCGCCTTTCTTGCCCTTAGGGGTTTCTGTTGATTACCTTGAACAAAATTTTTAATGTACTTGTAGATATTTGTATTTTGGGGGTTTTTTTTGTTTACCAAATGAGTTTTGTCCTGGTGTGGCCACCCTCGTAGGAACCCTTACTTAGGACTGGAAGATACTCAAAAAGTTCACCAACAATTAATTAAAAAGATGAAAATTCTAAAAACCATTATTTGGCCGTGGAAGGAGGGCCAGGGGGCCAACTTGGGACCTCATACATTCCTGAGGGAGAACTGGATTTTTGGAATGAACGTGTAGTAGCTCCTGGGTGTCCCACCTCTCTGCTGCTCCTTCCCCAACCTCTTTGTTCACCCCACTATCCCCAGTCTGACCCCACAAGTATTTAAGGAAACGGTCACCTTTCAAGGCCTCCCTACATTGAATACAGAATTCTCTCCATAAACTTTCCCTGGATGCACCAATTCAATTGGAGGCTACCCAGAGGGGTGGAGCTGGGCCACAGGACACAGGTGGGAAGCATGGAGGCCCATCCACCAATCAAGGAATGGAAGGATTAGTTGGCCAAAGCTGAAGATGGTGCTTTGGGGGACTGGATGGAGGCAAGGCTGAGAGTATCTCCCAGTTACTGGGTGGAGGTCCTCCCATCCTGAACTATTACCTGCCTCCAAACCTGCTCTTTAGTTTCCATTCAAGCACTCAACGCAAGCCCAGAACCAGTTACCTGACACCTCACCCATTCATTGCCCAACTGTAACCAGGTCCTGTTGTGTTTCCCTTCAGCGCAGGCAGAGCCTACGTTTCCACAGTAGGCCAGGGTGTTGAGGCCTTCTTGCCTCTCTCCTGCAACAAGGGACATGAGCTCCAGACCACCTACTGAACTTCAGGGGCAGCCTCATGGACCCCAAGAGATGGGCTAAGCCTCAGGGGCCCTAGACCTTGTTGGTCTGTCATCTCCTTCCAAGAATTCAAAGACCACCAACAGTGCTATTTACCATCTCTGCACCTACATTATTATTGAAGGAACAACTTCTAATACGGACTAGTATTTAAAAAACGTTTAGGGGCGCCTGGGTGGCTCAGGCGTTAAATGCCTGCCTTCAGCTCGGGTCATGATCCCGGAGTCCTGGGATCAAGCCCCGCATCGGGCTCCCTGCTCGGCGGGAGTCCTGCTTCTCCCTCTCCCATTCCCCCTGCTTGTGTTCCCTCCCTCGCGGTCTCTGTCAAATAAAATCTTAAAATAAAAAAGAAAACATTTAAAATGGTCCAACTGTTCTATGTAGTCTTGTTCATTAACAGTTAAGAGGCATATATGGTTGAGTGTAGAATGGATGGCATGAAACGGTGCCACGGTGTGGGTTCAGAGCCCTGCCCTACTCCTTAAATTCAGGAGCTCGACCTCCTCATCAAACCGGACGGGAACTAGAAACAAAACTCACCAGTTTGGTGCAAAGACTCAATGAGTTAATATGAAGAGTATTTGTAATGGCACTTAGAACAATCACTCTTCTCTCACTGGTTTGAGGTTGTGGGGGTAAACAACAGGCCCTGGAACCTTATGGGACATTCAACCAACACTTTAGCCGCTGGAAAATGAGCCTTACTCGAGTCACCTCCCCCAGAAGGAGACACAAGAGGAAGACACAAAACTTAATTTAATAGAAATTTTGTTTGTAGTCCTTACATTCTCAGTGTGAGCCAAGCTGGAACCCACTGCCCCACCCAGAAGGGGCCCAGATCCTGGAAGCGGGGGGGGGGGGGGGGGGGGGGGGGGGGGGGGGG